GATCAGTGTATGTGTCTGTGTGTGTGTGTCAGTATGTCGGTATGTCTGTATATGTGCCTGTGTCAGTATGTCTGTCAGTACGTCTACCAGTGTATGTGTCTGTGTGTGTGTCAATATATGTACCTGTGTCAGTGTGTCTGTCAGTGTATGTGCCTGTTTATCTGTATGTAGTCAGTGTATGTATCTGTGTATCTGCTTGTGCGTCAGAGTGTGTACCTGTGCATCTGAGCCGCAACTTTAAATACAAATACACCCCTCCATTCAAACTTCAACACTACATATAAAACACACTCCTGCATTGAAACGTCAACACTACATACAAGCACACTCCTACATTCAAAACAAACACTACACATAAATGCACACTTGCATTCAAACTCCAGTACCACATACAAACACATTCACACAAACATACTCCATACAAACACATGCTTACATTCAAACATACTAACATGGCTCAGTGCTAAATACAACCCTGCAAGCATGGGAAATTGGTAGAGTCCCAGCTGTCAAAGCATTGTTGGAGTTGCACGACAGATGGGGTTCTACCTTTAGTCCAACCTTGCAATTGGGGGTCCCAATAAAATTCATTCTACTTTAGTACCGCCACTGCGTTGGGATGGATGCCGTGATTGCATACCAGGGAGTGAGGGGCGAGAGCGGAAGGGCACAGGGGGCCCAAGCAAACACTTGCCCAGGGTCCATTCGTTATTAAAGACGGCCCTGCCTATATAGCAGTTTCTAAAAGTAAACAAGAGCATCTTTTTTATTTGGAAACCATTTACCTAATGTTAAAGGGACATTCCACTACCAAAATACAAAAAAGCACACTATTTAGTAGATACACCCTTTCACCCTCAATGTAAACACGCATACATTTAATTATACATTTTTTCATTATGTATATATCTAAAAATATCTTGCAAAATATGTAGATCTCGTCTGCACCCTTTGCTAACCTCCCCTTCTTCCCCGGCCTAGACTGGCTGTCACAAACCTCCCAATGCAGCTCAATGAGACATCTTTGCAAGGCAGGTGCTCTGAGAAATTGTCTACTTCTTGAGTTTAGCTCCACTGAGCTAACCAAACCAGGAAGTAACATGATCTGTGTCTGATTGACAGCCAAGGAGTGTAACAAGGTTTATTGCCAATTTCTATTGAAATCTGCACTTTTTGTAAATTTTAAAAACTGAGGACTTACTCTTCAAACATAATGCAAGTTAAAGTGCTTTAGGTGTGTGGACTATCCCTTTAAGAAGTTCTCATAACAACCCTGGCATCTGTTCTGACACCCTTTTTATTTTCCTTTATCTTATTGATACATATCACCAACACAATCAATTATTCTGATATCATAACTATTTTATCATTCTCCTAGCATAAACATTTATGTATTATAATTTTGTGTTTATAGGTTTAAAGCTATTTACATTTCTAACTGTTGATTTTCAACTATTTTTAATTTACTTTTGTATACTTTTTTATTTAAATGCTAACAACGCTTGTTTGATAAAAACATACAGTGTTTCTCACTTATTCTCTATTTAAATGCATGCAACATATTTAAAACATATATATTTTTAAAATGCTCTTATTTATTTGTTGCAGGATTTTGAAGGAACAGGAAGATAAGGTTAAGGAGAACACTGTCCGTTTACTTGAATCTCCAAAGAAAAAAAAATGCTGTTTCAGCCAATAGAGAGGCCTCAGAACAGTGGCACATTAACACTACTTGCTTTATAGTTAGATTTTAAGTTAAATATTTGCACAAATTGTTAGAGACATTACACTGCCATAGGGGGATGCTCTACAGGATCATAAATTCCTACAAAACTGTAAAGCAAATCATATATGTAATAAAACATATTTATTTGGAGATATTTAAAATTCAGAAGATATTACATAGTATATGTTGAACATTTTAAAGAGGCTCTGACACCTATAATGTTGCTTTTATTTTTATTTATTTGTCAGAAAACATTTTAAAGCAATAATCGTAGCAGACTAATTACATTTTCACTTACGCTGGTGAGGGCATATATAGCTGTAATTACATTTTTAATATGTCACTATTTTGTGTGTTTGTGCCATCTGGGGACTGCATTAGAAGCTGTGAGCCCAAAATTTACACTTCCTGATTTAAGGCATTTACTGACACAAATATGGCTGCTGTAAGCTTAAACTGCAGACTGCCAATCAGATCATGGATGTTCTGAGTTTAACAGATTTTTACTGTGTGTTTCTGAGCTGTGAGTAAATAACGTTTTAGAACTGGTCAATGATGTAGAATTCTCTAACTGACAAAATAAACTGAAAATATGAGTAGGTCAGTTATATATGTTGTATCAATTATCTTAAAAAAACTGAAGAAATGAAAGAAGAGCCAAGGCAAAGTGTAAGCAGTTTTATACAGTGAGGTATGATAGTGGAAATAAAACTTATGATGGAGTAAATGGTTTGCTTAAAAATAAGCAAACTACAATTATATAATTAAGACAGGTGATTTCCTTTCAGACAGGTGATTTGATTGATCCTGTTTTAAAGGGACATCCATTGCCCAAACTCCCCCCCCCCCCAAAAAAAAACAACCCCAGTGTTTAGTAGATATACCCCAAAAGTAAATTTGCATGCATTTAGTAATGCATTTTTTCCAATGGTGGTATATCTAAAAACAGCTTGCAAAAACTGCAGATCTCTTGCCTGCTGCCTTTACAAGTCCACCCCTTCTAATCCCGCCCAGACTTTTTGTGCCTGTCCAATCACAGACTTACAATTCAACTCAATGTAAAGTCTTTGCAAGGCAGGTGCTCTGGGTAATTACTGCCTCTTGAGGTCAATGCGAATAAGCTAACCAAATCAGGAGGTAACATGACCTGCTGTCTGCTTGAAAAGTCAAGGGATGTAACCTGGTTAACCTGCACTATTTGCAAAATGAAGAAAAGTGGACATTCTTCACACATAAAGCTTTTCAGCAAGCTAAAGCGCTTTAGGGGTCTGGAAGGTAGGAAATCAGCCCTGATGCACTTGATGTCAACTGCTTACAGTTTAACTAAAGCTGGTGCTTGCGGTAAATATAACATTACAGCTAGTAGTTTAGGCCCTTAGTCCAACAGACTTTTGTCTGGTTTTTTTCAAATGGTCAAACGACAAGTAGTAAAGTGTACAAGGTTTCACCTTTTGTTTTTTCATATTCTGGACCTTGTTGAAGTCAGTGCAACTAATAATAATGACCTATTTCCTCTAACGCCATGAAAAACCTTAAAGGAGCACCATAGTGCCAGGAAAACAAACTCATTTTCCTAGCACTATAGGGTTATTAGGTCCCCTCCTCCCTCGGAGCCCGCCTCCCACTAGGCTGAAGGGGTTAAAACCCTTTCAGCCACTTACCTTAATCCAGCGCCGGGCTCCCTCGGTGCTGGTGATCTCTCCTCCCCGTCCCTACATCAGCTCGGAATGCGCATGCGCAGCTAGAGCTGAGCACGCATTCAAACGGCCTGTAGGAAAGCATTACTCAGTGCTTTTCTATGGACGTCCAGCGTGAGTTCAGTGCGATTTTCGCATTGAGGTTTGCGGAAGCGGCCTTCAGTGAGATCGCCACTAGAGGCTGGATTAACCCTCAGTAAAACATAGCAGTTTGGCTGCAGGGTTAAAACTAGAGGGACCTGGCACCCAGACCCCTTCATTGAGCTGAAGTGGTCTGGGTGCCTATAGTGTCCTTTAAGTGATAAGTCTATGTGCTCATATTTAACCAAACTAGCTGTAACATTTGCAAAAGAAAAGGAAATCGAGCTACCAATCTCTATCAGTCTCATGATAAAAAGACTAAACTGATACTTTCAAACCTGCTACATTGAGAATTGGACAGGTTTTCCAGTAGATGCATTGACCAACTGAGCAAAATAACCAACTTCAAAGAGTGTAGAATATATGTCTTGACTTTATTCTTGAGACAAAATCATTATAGCTTCAACTGAGCCATATTGTATCTGAAATAGCTGAAACATTGAAAAAAGAGTGCACTTTCTCATGTTCTTGTAATTTTAATTCAATATTTAATTGCTTTCTATTAGAGAAAAAAATGAATGACAACTATTTTGTAAATTACCGTCAAATGGTTTATGTTATTTCTGATCCTTAGTTGCTTCCTAGTGAAAAGAAAGCAATGTCATGTTTTACATCTAGTAGCTGCAAAAGCACTTTTATAATATTTTTAATGTCTATCTATCCATCATCAATTTCCACCCTAAAAAGGGATCTGTGATCAAATGCTATGTCTGTCTGTCTGTCTCATTTTATGTGGAATATTATTGTTAATTGATGCACATTTTGTCTAGTCCTTAATATTTATATCACATGTATGTCCTTATTTCAAATAATGCTATGTAAGCTTAGATTGTTTATCTTTATCTCTCGAAACAGTTTGGAAGGAAGGAAAGTTTACATAGTAATTTATTTAGAGATATACACTATCTTTTTTGTCTTGAAGAACTTTGAGAATGCACCCTTGTCTTTGGTGTTTTATATATTTACCTTGGCAAAAAATGATTTGGATTTCTTGTTTAGTCGTAATTATATTTATATTAAATTTCAAAAATATATTTTGCATTTTATCTCTATTTCTAGGCTAGATTACAATCATGATCTAAATCTTAATTGGTATATGTTCTAGGTCACATGAACTGGTGGCTGATTGTCCAATTGCCCCCTTTTTTTTTTTTTTTTGCTACAGAACATCATTCATTCTTCCAAATGTACATGTTTAAAAATAATGCTAAGTAAATGGGCTCTGTCATCACCATAGTCTAATCAATCAACACAGAATCTTGTTATAATATTTAAATTGTTGGTGTAGGTGAATATATGTTTTTAAGAGCTGACTGACCGCAATGCCACCAAAAACAAACATATTTTTCAGAGATTAATAATAATTAAAAAAATAAATTTTATAAAATTAAGCAAATTAGGATTACACAATAAAAATTATATCTAGATCCCACAGCATTTGGGTTGCGCTTAGATTGCATATTCCACTTTTTTTAGCTGGCGTAATATTTATAATGTATTTTGTTTTAGTAGAACCCTCATTGGATAAAACTATGTTTTCTGTGCCTGGAGATGGTTGGCTTGCCACACCCAGTTAAGCCAATTATCTCCAGGATAGAGGACTCTGTGGAGCTGGTTTGGGCTGGAAAAGCCATGCTTCAGTGTTCACAAAGGACTTTCGACCTAACTTTTAAACCACTGGATGGAATTGACTGATTTTTGAGTATGTTTGTATTTGGAGTATGCTGATTCTGAAAATGTAAGTATGTGAATGTGATGTATACTTTTAAAGTTATGAATATTGTGTAAAACTGTATATTTTCCTGCCTGTTATAATTACGTTAGCCCATTGTGTTCAGTAATTATATCACAGGCAGAGGGGAGGATTTTGCTGGAATGAATGAGAGTGTTCATTGTATATTAAAACGTATATTACGTGTTTGATTGGATGTTCCACAAAACTCTGTGGGTGGTACTAATGTGTAAGAATGTGTATATAAGAACAATAAAAACACAGCTCTGTCTGTTCCTGCTTGACCCTCAAAATGGAGCCTTGTCTCGTTCTTGGGGAGATTTATTGTATGCTGTTCCAGTTTGACTGCTAGGAGTGTAAACCTATTTGTATGGTTTTTCCTATTTGGCCGTTTACAGCATTCGTATGGTTCCGGTTCGGCTGTTTACGGCATTCATATGGTTTCCTGTTCGGCGGATTGGTGTCTTTGATAGCTGCCTGTATATCTTGAATGGGAATATCTTCTAAATGGCTTTAACCCCTTTTATAACCGGGGTACCGTTACAATTGGTGACAAGCGACGGGATGGTTCTCACAGCCCAGAAGGACAGCTACAAGGAAACACCATTCCCTGGATTTACAAATTGAGGGCAACGCATGTCTGAGTACAGTGACCCTGACAGCATCAGGATGGAACCAGCCGTTTTATACGATGAGGGACGATCGGGATACAGTCCGTAAAGGCATCTGGTACCAGGCACTGCATAACATACAGCACCAGCGGGGCGAGGGACTCCCCAGTGAGGAGCAGCGACAGCAGAAACTACTAAAACGGCTTTAACCCCTTTTATGCCCGGGGTGCCGTTACACCGCCGAGGCCACACGTTACAGGGCCCATCGAAATTAATTTCCAGGGGGGCCCGGTCAGCAATGCGGCACTTGACATCAAAGCGTAGGGAGGAAGTGACTGCCCCGGTCACTTCCAGCAATCACAGAGCCCATGCGGTAGGAGTGTGTAAGAGTGGGAACTCTAAATCCCATCAGCCTGAGCCACTGGACCCCAGGGAAAGTCACCCTCCTGCACCTAAAAGGTAGGAAACAGGAGGGTGACATTTTGCATGTGTCTCTGTGTGTATGTGTGTGTCTGTCTGTATGTATCTCTCTGTGTATGTGTCTGTATGTATGTGTCTCTCTGTGTATGTGTGTGTCTCTGATGTATGTGTATGTGTGTCTGTGTATATGTTACACCTCTGGTTAAAGTGAGTATGGCAGGGGTGACTCACCCGGCGGCAAAGGGCAAGCCGCCGGTCCCCCTCCCGATGGACCGAGGGCCCAACAAGTCACTCTGCGCCATGGTGATTTAGGCGGCCATGAGGCCTTAGGCGGCTGCCTAAATCGCCTAATTAGAGAGCCGCCTCTGCCTATAATTCTGTGAATGCTGAATTGCATTTTAGATTGTGTTTCTGTGGAACTTCCATTAAAGAACCTCTTCGTTCCTGATCTCTGTCATTAGTATTCTTTTCAATCTATTCTATTATTTTCTATTTTAATTTCACCATGCCACCACAAACAACTATAAATGATTAAAACAGCTTATGTGCATTCATGCGTAGCTACACTCATGTTGTCTAAATAACAGCAAGGTTGATGAGACATTGGGGAATATTTTAGGTGAACAAGAAATCCAAAACATCACTGACAAAATTGTATAGTAAAGCTAAATAGTATTAAGGATAGGTATGACTTAAAGGGACACTAGTTTCCCAAATGCAAATAAAATAAAATATCCCCAATGAAAATGTATCCATTTAATTTTGCATTTTTTATATGGGTTATTTCTAAAAACAGCTTACAAAAGCTGCAGTTCTTTTGTCTGCTGCCTTTGCAAGCATCCAGTGGTGGAACTACCGCGGTTGCATTGGTCGGAGCTGCGACTGGGCCCATCACTCCAGGGGGCCCGGCCGTCCGGCGGACCCATCCGACCTTGGTGCCCATCGTCCAGGTAATGCGGCCCCAGCCTGCGCCGGTAAAACTGCCTGGGCCGCATTGAAGGGGCCCACCTAGTGGCTAATGCTGTTAGGGCCACCTGATGAATTTCCCCTGTGATGATCAAACTGAGCTGGGAGGAAGTGACTGCCTTGGTCACTTCCTGCCACCTATCATAGAGAGCCGTGCGGGAGGAGGAAGGAGATCAGCCTGAGCCACCACTGAACCCCTGGGGAAGTCACCCTCCTACACCTAAAAGGTAGGAAATAGGAGGGTGACTAAACCATTTTGCATGTGTGTGTGTTTGTATATGTGTGTCTGTCTGTATGTATGTATGTATGTGTGTGTATGTATGTGTCTCTGTATGTGTGTGTGTGTATGTGTGTGTATGTCTGTATCTATGTATGTGTCTGTATGTATGTGTATGTGTCTCTGTATGTGTGTTTGTATGTATGTATGTATGTATGTCTGTATGTGTGTTTGTGTGTGTTTGTGTCTAAATGTATGTGTGTGTCTGTATGTATGTGTCATGTGTCTCTGTGTGTGTGTGTGTTTGTGTATGTATGTATGTGTGTATGTGTGTGTCTGCATGTGTATCTGTTTGTCTGCATGTGTGTCTATATGTGTATCTGTATGTCTGCATATCTGTATATCAGTGTCTGCCCATGTATCTGTATCAGTGTCAAGCTGTTTGTATTTGAATGTTTGTCATTAAGTGTCTGTGTATCTGCATGTGTGTCCGTGTATGTATCTGTATGTGTTATATGTTGTGTATCTCCATGTATGTCAGTGTGTTTGTCTGTTTATCTGCATGTGTGTTTGTATAACGGTCACCCCAACACACACACTGTCACCCCCCATTCAGCCTGCCACACTCACAATAACTCCCCCAATCCTGTCACTCACCCATACCATACTCACCTCCCATCACTCTGCCATATTCACCCTATCACACGCTTCTCTATCACAGTCACAATCATTCTCCATCACACTCGCCCCCTTTCACCCTGTCACATGAACACCTCCAATTCTGTCATACTCATCCCCCCAACCATGCCACACTTACCTTGTAGGGCGTAAATGAAACACATGGAGGGGCTGGGGGCATGAATGTGACACATGGAGGGGCTGGGGGGTGGGGCAGGGCAATTTCCGCACCGGGGCCCTGTGGTTTCTAGTTACACCTCTGCAAGCATCCCAGACTTTCTGTTGCTGTCCAATCACAGACTTCCCAATGCTGTTCAATGTGAAGTCTTTGCAAGGCAGGTGCTCTGAACGATTACCTGCCTCTTGAGTTTGGCTCCACTGAGCTAAACTGCCAGGATGTAACAGACCTTTTCCTGTTGTAGAATTAGGAGGTGGGGTGTAACAAGGTTAATTTAAAATAAAAGTGTCATTTTCTCTTAAAACTGCACATCTGCACAGAAAACACTCTTCTCACAACTGAGGTGCATTAGGGGGTGGAGTGTCCCTTTAGTAAAATAGTAAACTTCATAAAACATAACAATTCATACTTGCCTTTTTAAATTCTTGCTTGAAGAGCTTTGTTTAGTTTTTTGTTTATTTTTCATTTTATTTATTGCCAAAAAGATATCATAGCCTGATGCAATTGTGCAAATTTAGAATAAAGTATGTAAAAGAATCCATGAAAATGTATATGCCTTTGCCAAACTGAAAGCCAGTGAACCCAGAGATATACTTATTGTGATTGATAGATGCATTGTGAATGTCTTTGATCTTACTGTGCAGGGCAGATGAACATTTAGAGACCATTTCATACACAACAGCGCAGTGCTATGTTGCTATCTACCTACAATACTTGGGTTAAAACATACCTCCTGTCCTGTAACAGGGACAGTCAGGGGTGGATTGACAGCCTTCTGGGCCCCCAGGCAACATTATATCCTGGGCCCTTCGAAGACCAAATATTAAGTATTAAAAGGGGCGTTATAGTCACCAGAACAACTACAGCTTATTGTAGTTCTACTGGTGGCCACAGCCAATCCTTACAGGCTTACAGGCTGGATGGAGCAGGGTGATATGTTACAGGGGCCCTCTGTCTCATCATGGGCCTCTACAACCTTCTTTCTGACTGTGGAGATCTCTGATCTCCACAGCAGAAGCATGAGTGCAGCCAGGCCCCTGACTGACTCGGACCCTTCCATGACCGATCTTCACGAGTGGTCAGTCCACCCCTAGGGACAGTCCCTATTTTGGGCACAAATTCCTCTGTCCCTCTTTTCTGTCTTAATGTTCCTTTTTTTTCTAAGAGCTCCATGTTGTTGCTGTGTCTGAGTGTATAACAGAGTTTCACAGCAATAATACTCTCAGTAATCTTTAAGTGTCTTTAAACTACAATAAATGTGTTCAGATATCAGTCTGTGTAAATAGGGTACATTATTATCGTTCTAAATAACATATTAGTTGTCTAATTTGTTATTAGTAAGTCATCTACATTTCACCAACCACACCCCTAAAACTATAGAGTCCCTCTTTGAGATGGACCCACAAATGGTTTAACTATTCTCTCCAGTTATGGGGTGGAGATAGGAGGTCTTTGCTAATCACTTGTTGCTACTATTCTAGTCTGGGAGACCCCATGCAGTTTAAAAAAAAAATATTTCCTAGACTTAATGTATGTTATAAAGTACTTTCAGCATTGTGCTGTGGCACTAAACAATTCACAATGATGCACATAAGCAACATATCTAGTGGGACTTTAGACTTGGTTTTACTAAGCATAGGATTTATGAAAAAAAAAAAAGGCTTTTTGTCTAGTAAACACCCCCACCCCCACCCATTAAATACTATATTGTATATATATTTCTGTGATTACCTATAGAGATGTTTCAGTTTCCAAAGGCTCAGAAAACATTTTTCTCATGTAGTGGAATTTCAGAATACCTTTGCCCCCTATAGCTGGAAAATCTAGCATTAACCAAAATAGAAAACATCTAAACAACATATTGATTGTGATGCTATACCTGAAATTGTAGCTAGAGGGCACTCTTTGCATATAAATGTAAATACAGAAAAACTTGAGTGATAAGGACATTTTGAAAATAAACATTCCTGTCTAAAATCTCTGATTTTACTTGTAACATACAATTTAAAGATTTGATACAACATGCCATTTTCTTCCTCTTAAGCACTGCATCTCCTCTGACTTCTCAGGTTTCCCTAAGCAATTTATTCTCTCTGTCGTTCATCTTTATTTCACCTTATAATTAACCACTTAACACAGGATGTTTGCTAATTTCCTTTATTAGTTATTTCCACCAGCGTAAATATTTCAGAGTAAATTTTAATGAATTAATTTCATCTGTTCCTTATTTTACCAGCACTGCTAATTACCAGCATTCTGAATTGACTTTCTAAGCGACCAATTTGCAGTCCTTGGGGGGAGAACTGTTGACTTCAAGTATACCAGGTAGAGAGGGCTAATAAAGCGTTGCGTGCTGTCTTCTTAACGCATTTTGTAGTCATGAGACATTGAAGCTTCACATAGCTGGCCCTTGAAATCCAATTCTACTGTGAAATCCAGATCTCGCTGTAATGAACAAAAAATATAAGCATACAAAAATGTTTAACCCTTGTTTTCCTGTAATGGAGTTTGTTTACACGTTTTGTTACAGGTGCCAACATGCTTATGACTGTAAGGTAGACTATAAAAAGTAGATGACACATGGAACTGCAGCCACCGGATACTATAGCTTAAATGATGTTTGGCCAGTTATATTGTCCGCAGTTCCGAGACTGCCAGAAGATAATTGTTATTGTCCCCTGATGCAAGATTGGATTATTAAAAATAGACTAATCACATGATTAATGTACCAGGAAAGTAGGGAAATATATTATTATTTATTTTGATTCCACAAGACACCCTAACATGCAGCCTCCTACAAGTGTATATCAAGATCACCATAAGGGGGGTACACAGGACCGGACTGGCCCACCGGGATACCGGGAAATTGCCCGGGGGGCTGCGGCACCTGGGGGCCGGCCACGTTCCTGGCTGGAGCCACCAGGCCGGGTGGCAGCTTCCCCAGTCCCGCGGCACTCCTCTCACTGCTGTGGCTGATGGAGGAGGAGCATGTCTCTGTACCATGCTCCCTCGCAGTTCCCGGCACAGCCACAGCTGTGACAGGAGCAGGGCCACCGGACCGGGGAAGCTGCCACCCGGCCCGGCGGCTCCAGCCAGGAACGCGGCCGGCCCCCTGACTTCTCTAAGGTAAAGGGGAGGGGGGAGAGGGGAATAGAGGGAGGAGGGGAGAGAGATGGGGAAAAGGGGGGGAGAGAGATGGGGAGAGACACCGGAAAAGGGGGTAGGGAGAGAGATGGGGAGGAGGGGAGAGACACAGGGAAAGGGGGGAGGGAGGGAGGAGGGGAGAGACACAGGGAAAGGGGGAAGGGAGAGAGATGGGGAGGAGGGGAGAGACACAGGGAAAGGGGGGAGGAAGAGACACAGGGAAAGGGGTTGAAAGAGGCAGAGGGGGAAGAGAGAGACAAAGAGGGAGAAATGAGAGAGAGACACACAAGGGGAGGGGAAGAAAGAGGCAGAGGGGGAAGAGAGAGACTGGGAAGGAGAGGGGAGACACTGACACAGAGGAGCAGTGAGGGGGAGAAAGAAACATACAGAGTGTCTGGGGGAGACAAAAAGGCACACAGAGGGGCTGGAGATAAAGAGACACACATAGGGGCAGTATATATCACAAAGCCCACAAGGCTTTCCCCTGCCGGCCGATCTCCCTCCCCATTCCACAGGCACCGTGCAGCCAGTCGGC